TGGCTGATGCCTGCATCCTCACTGTCCCCCTGCAGGAACAGGGCATTCCACCCCAACCCAGGGCTCCTCGGCCCAGGAGGACGTTCCCAGCTCCCCAGACGATGCTTCAGATGAAATCATGGACCGGCTGGTGAAATCGGTGACTCACAATGCCAACCCCCGGCCCTGCACCAACAGGGAGCGCAGGAGGTCCCGTGGCAATAGGAAGTCCTGTAAGTTCCATCTCTGTCCCCATGCAGTGGCCCTGTACTCTGTCCCTGTCCCGTGTCAGTGTCCCTGCCCAGATGCTTTTTCCTACCTCTGTGTCCCTGTCCCCTTACCATCTCCCATTTCTTTGGCCCTGTCCCCGTGCCCTGTCCCATCTTTATATCTCTCTTCCCATGCTCTGCCCAGTCCCTGCATTCTATCTCATCTCTGTCCTTGTCCCCATCCTCTGTCCCATCTCCACGTCTCTGTGCTCTGTCCCCATGACTTGTCCTATTTCTGTGTCCTTGTTCCCACACCCTGCCTGGCTCCTTCCCCACGGGCCACCGGTGACCTGCCATGCTGAGCCCACCAGGCCACAGCAGGATGTACCTTGAGACCAACCCATGCCATTGCACCCCATTGCCACTCTCCCCAGTATGCCAGGGCCGCCCTGTCTGTGCCCCTGGCACCCAGCACCGCCCGTGCTGCCGGTGCCACACTCTGCCCCTCCCGCAGTGCGGCGGACGCTGAAGAGCGGGCTCAGCGATGAGCTGGTGCAGGCGCTGGGCCTGGGGCGGGCGCCCGGCATGGACGTCTGAGGGGGCCGAGAGGGCTCCTGCTGCTCCCCACCACCAGCAGCCCCAGGGCAGAACGTGGTGGCAGCCCCCGTGGCACGCTCCAGGACTGGCACACTCTGCACCTTTGGTCTTGCCTCACTTTTCGCTCCTGGCCTCCAGCTCCCAGAGGTGCAGGCAGCAGGAGGGTGGTGATGCCCCAGAGCTGCTCTGCGGTGACTGGGATGGAGGATGCTCAGCACTCGTGCATGGAGGCTCAGGGTTCATCTTCTCAGCAGTATTATAGGGGTCAAGGGGCTGGACCCAGACCCCCCCTGGGACCTGGGTCTGGCCCGTGGCCACTGTGGCAATAAAGTGATCTGACATGCTGCCAGTGTCCCTTGTCCCTGTACCTGAGAGGCCACAAGGATATGGTACTGCCCCCTGGACGAGCCAGTACCCCTCCTCCTGCATCCTCAGCCCTGCTGCCTGGGGCAAGCACTCAGCCAGCCCTGTGGCTTGCAGGCTCCACTGTCCCTCTGCGGACAGCGTGGTCCCCTCTGTGCTGGGACAGCTCAGAACCTTTCCAGAAGGAGCAAGGACTGCTGCCAGGCTCAAGGCTGCACACTCAAGGGCTGGAGCAGTGGCTCGAGCACAAGGCCACAGCACAATAAAATCATGTCTCACCTCATCTCTCCCTTACAAACCTCTCCTGGGGGGTTTTAGCCAGACCCGGACCTGGGGAAGAGGCAGAATGGTTGTTCCCCTCCAGGAGCAGGTCCTGGGCACAGTAGCCATGTTGCAAGCCTCAGAAACATTCCCTGTGCTTGGCAGAGACAGACTACCTGGTGCTGTAAATGCAGCAAGGGCAGCATCCATCTGTCCCCATGAGGGACTGGGAGATGTCCCTGCCACCTCTTGTCCTAGTGTGGTTCATGCCATGCCAGACACAGATTAAACCCCACAGTGGGTGCTGGCTGCAATGCTCCCCACAGGTCCATACCGTTTCTGAGCATCCCCCTGTGCTTTGGGCACTGTCACCCATGGTAGAGGCATTTGGGAATGGTGTCGTGCCATCCATCACGGTGGCTCCTCCTCGGCGCTGCCCTGGCCCTGCCTCCAGCCCTGAATCCCGCACAGCAGGTCTCTGTGGCTTTCAAGGAATGAAGAAAAACTCCACCAGGCAGGGCAGCTTCTCCCTCTGGGCTATCTCTGCCCAGGGTTGTCCCTCTCCCACGAGGCTGGACATGCCAGTGGCCTCGGAGGTGCTGGGCAGCACCAGCCTGCCCCAGCTTGCAGCATGTCTGAGATGTCCCTGGGTGGCTCTGGGAACAGCCAGATACCACACTAAGAGCTGCAGGTGTCCCAGACATGCCCCAGGATGTCATTTGGCTCTCCTGCCCTCTGGGTGCTTGACTTGGGGCTGCAAAGAGAGAACAAAGAGGTTGTGATAGGCAACACTGAGCCACAGCAGGAAGCAGAAAGGGATGGGAAAGCATCTTCCAGAACGCCTGCACCTGCCCCAGGTACCTGAAGTGACATTACACATGTGACAATCCCAGGAGTGTTGCTCACAAGGGCCTTGATGGGGGCAACTGTAGGCAGGGTGCTGGGGAATGTGTCTCCCTCTGGGTGGTTTGGTGGCACTTGGGGCAGCTTTGTCCTCAGCCAAGGCCTCTGCCAACCCATTTGGGTTTTTCCACTTTTTTTTTCCCCAGCCTTGGTGATATTTCCAGGATTCCCAGCCCAGCCCTGGGCACACGCTGCCCTTGAGCGGCGCCTGAAGTGCTTGGCTTGGCCGCGGCACAAGTGGCTTACGCCAAAAATACAACAGGCAGGGGCAGCCCCCCCGGGAAGGAGAGGGGGTGGTGGGATGCCGGAGGGGCCTTTGCGAGCCGAGGCAGGTTCGTGGTAGTGACACGAGGCTTGGTGGGGATCTGGGGCACACGTGGCCTCAGGCAGATCAGCAGAGCTGGGGAGCTGCACCCCCGGCTGACTCCCGGGGGTGGGAGGAGGTGACCCTGCCGGAGCACCCCGCGGCTCCCAGCACCTCCGTGCCTCCCTCCATCCCCATCCCTGCGTGGCTCCCAGGGCCACGAGCTGTGTCCTGCTGCCACGAGGGGGCACGGCGGCCACGCGCACGGCGGGGCCACCCGGGACACGCTCCGGTCCCGCCGCTCTGCCTCTGCCTCTGCCTCTGCAGGCACTCGCCGCTGGCCTTCAGTTCGCTGTTCCCCCTCTGCCTGGCACCCGGGGGGCTGCACCCTGCTCCCCTCCCCTCGAGACATCCTGCCTCTTTCATGTGCCCGGTGGAGTGACAGCCACGGCCTTGGTCCTGGTTGTTTGTCTGGCTGGCGAGGACAGGCTTCTGTCCCTTGTGCTAAGATGTGTCTTCAGTGCTTGTCCCTGGCCCCCATCCTGCCCTGGCCCCCTTCCAGGCAGTGGGGAGGAGCAGGGGACAGCGAGGACGAGCCTGGCTCCACTTGTTGTTGCATTTACCCTCTTCTGTAGCTCCCACCCTCATTGGGATGGAAGATGTCCCCTGCCTTCTCCATTCCATCCTTTCCATGGGACTGTCCCAGTGCAGGGTCCTGTTTGCTGGCACACCCCGAGGTCAGCTCCAGCCTCATGCTACATGGGTGGGGGACTGCCTGTGGTCCTGACCTCCTAGTTGCCACAAATCCCCACCGTCATGTGAGAAGCACAATTCCCACCAGGAATAGCACAACCTCACCTCTGTTCCCAGGTCAGAACCATCCAGAACATTTCTTGCAAGCACTGGGGCACCCTGGCCACTTCCAGGAGCATCTACCACCCCCCAAATTCCTCCTCCTGCCTCAGCTGCAGGAATCCTCTACCTCCTGGCCCCAACCCTCTTAAGCAACTCCAGGCTGGACACGCTCCATTCTGCAACCACCTTCCCCAGCAGGATGGAGGCGTGGGATGGGAACCAGGTCACAGCTGCTGTGACCTACTGCCCTCTTCCCTGGGGGCAGAGGGAGCAGGAGCCACTTGGGGCGTGGCCCAGTCGGCTTCCCCTGGTATCTGTCTTGTGGCCAAGGGGGAGCCACATTTCCCTTGTCCCCACCACTCCAATATCGAGGTAGAGACCCTGTCATGGGCATGGAAGAGAGGGGAGATGGGAAGGTGATGCTGGGCTGGCAAAGCAGGCCTGGTGTGGGTACCACACAGGCCTCAGGAGAGCACCAGGCATTAGTGGAGCTGGAATCACTTTGGAATATGACCATTGCAGCACAGCACAGCAAAGGAACAAGGTCCCTGCAGCCCAAAAGCAGCTCTGGTTTGGGGAACCAAGGTGCAGAGAGCCCAGATGGCAAAGGGGCTGCCAAGGTTGTGCAGGCACAGTGACACAGGGTCCCCACCAGGGCAGAAGGTGAAGCCTCTCCCAAAGCCATGAATGCAGCTGGAAGCAGAGACATGTTTTGTAAATACCTGGGGATCCTGCACAACCTGAAAAAACAAGTCAGAGGCAGGAATGTTCCAAAGATGAGGGGGTTTGGAAAGAGCCAGACCCAGGGTCAGTGCCTGGCTGGATGCTCCATGTTGGCAGCAAGGCTGTCCTGGGAGCAGCCCTGGTACTCCCCAAGGGAGCTGCTCCAGCCACAGCACCCCGGGAGCTGGGAGGTCCTGCCCAGGCTCTGGGGAGAGGTTTGGGCTGTGCCCATCATCCAGCTGAGGTGTGTGGAAACCCCACAGATGGAGGATGAAAGCCTGGGGCTCAGGCTGATCCCACCGACATGGCATCAGATACAGGGCATCAGATGATGGGCACCAATGGTCACCTTTGGTTTACAGCTTCAAAACATAAAGAAAGCCCCCAAAAAGTCCTTCAGTCAAGTAAGTTGGAAACAAGGAATGGAAAATGCTGGGAAGAAGGGAGAGAAGATCCCAGAACAAGGAGCTAAGGTGGCTCCATGGGCAGCTGTGGCTCAGGTTGGTCATGCCGTGGGAAGTGCCTCCAGGCTGGGCTTTGTTAGATTCAGTTTCCATGCCCTAGGTTTGGGAAAGGAACATGGGGATATTGTTGGGTGCAGGAAAGGCTTCCTGGAGCTGAGCCCAGCTTAGCTGAATCACAGCCACTCATGGATCTGCACTCCCCAGAGAAGAAAGCCGCGATAACAGAGCTCCCACTGCAGCTGCAAAGTTCAACCAGAAGCAGTAGAACTGCCCAAGTTCAGTGGTAGGACACAAATATTTGGTGCCAGGAGTAATTAATCACTCTCGTCTGCAAGACCCTCTGGGTCAAAATGAGGTTAATTCCAGGCAGTGCAGCAGCCTTTGTCATCCCTGAACTGTCTCCGGCCCCAGACGCCAATGGGCTCCAGTGTCCCAAATCTTCAGCATGAAGAAGGATGAACCCACGTCCATCCAAAGGCTGTTAGAGGACATGGTGTGGGACAGAAGGAGCCCTGTGTGCTATAGTCAACAAGGCACATCCCCTTTTCTGTGGGTTTGATGGTCCGTGGTAGGTACCCAGCCCAAAAGAGACATCCAAGGGGGTTCCAGCCCCATGGTCCCCTCTCCTGAGACAACTGCTCCCAGGGAAGGACTATACCTTCTGGCCTGTGTGAGGAAGCAAGTGCTGGCACAAACCTCCATCAGCACTGAACAGACAAAAGTGCCCTGTTAGGTACTCACTCGCCTGGGTGGTGTTTCCTGAGGAGATAATAGCCCTGGAAGAAGGACTTGCTGTTTTGGAGGAGATTAAGTACCTGTGGGACCAGCATGTGGATGAATCACAACCCTCATGGGCTTAGAGCCCCTGGAAATGGCTCATGGCACTTTGAAAACAATGTCGTGAATCTTCTGCAGATCAGATTAGGGAGTGGAACAATTATCTCAAAACCTGTTAGTCATGGGAGGCTCCAGGAGCTGGAGGAACAGCCTAGGGCAAGGGGAGCACTAGGAAGATGTGTGTCCCCCCTCCATGAGCAGCCCCAGGAAGGGTGTGGGAGGTGGCTGTGGTCGAACCAGCCCCGTTTCCCCTGCAGAGGTTGAGCTGTAATTAGCAGAACGGGTACGGAAGAGCTCAAGTAGGTCAAAAGGTAATGGGGCTATCGCCAGTGTTTCCTCACGGCAGGGCCCAGGTGGGAGGGAGGCACCCTCAGCGTTGAGCAATGGGCAGAGGAACAAGGCCAGGCGCTGTCTTCAAGGGAAGATCCACCAAGGTCCCCCTGACCACACACCAGCCTTCTGGGGGAAAGCTGGGGAACAGTTAGGGCCAGCAAACAGTGCTGCTGGTCCAGCCCCACCGCGCTGGATTTCGTGGTGAGAGCATCCATGGAACGCTCTGAGTGCCACGACAGAGAACACCACGGCTACCTACAACCCATCCTGAGGCATCCCACAGGGAGGGCACCCTGAGACC